TTCTGAATGGTAATATTAAAAAAATTAAAATAAATTCTGAAGCATGTGATGAATTAAAAACACAAGAAAATAATTCTGAAAACATTAAAAAACTTAATTATGTTCATAAATTTTTCCAAAGAGATTTAAATGAAAAACTGCCAAAATTAAAACAAGAAGTATGTAGAAATATACAAATTTAAGTTAATTATTTTGATAATAATAGTTTTATATGTTATATTCTAATAATGACATAATTTTTTTAAGGAATTAGAAGAACTTTTGATACAAAAAATTGTCGAAACAATTACTATGCGTGACGAAATTGGCAAATTAAGAGAACAAGCACGTATATCAGAAAAAAATCAAGAAGTAATGCGTGCAAAATGTCAACAATTGGCTAAACAAATTAAGGATTTTGAAATGGTATTAAGTCGTAATGCTGCAGATCGACGTGCTAATAATGACAAATCCACTCCACCAATTAAAATCAATAGATCTGTTGGATTGCAAGTTAATTTTATGACGGTATTTAAATATAATAATATTATTTAAATAAACTAATTTATTTAAATAATTTTGTAATATTTTATTTTACATATATTTTATTGTAATATTTATTTCCATAGGATCATGGCATGCAGAATTTACGACAATTACAACAGAATTCTAATTTGAAGTCTTTACATCTTTCAAGTAATAATAATAATACATCAATTACTTCTATTAATGAAACAAATAATGCAGCCAGTCCCAGAAAAGGAATTAAAGTAAGATCTCCCAGGAGAACTGAATCAATAATTGGACAAAATTCTGTGATATCACAAAATCACACTCAGTCTCCAAATATTATGACTACTATCACTCCTGCAGCTTTAGTTGTTGCTAAACCTGTAGACACACAGCATTCTTTGACATTACCAAATCAATCTAATGTTCAACAAATTATGTCAAATGTAAGTATTTTATAAGAATTTTTATATTTTTATTATAAAAATCGTATAATAAATATATTATATTGATTTTTATAGCAACAAATTCAATCACAACAACAGCAAGCTATAGTTCTAAATGGAAAATTTCCAAATCAAATAAATCGTCAAGGATCTACTACAACAAATATTGTAAAATCTCATACAAATGATCTTATTGATCTTACAGATGAAGAAGAAAAAAGCAAAGGTATTAAATTTTCTGATTTATTTATTTATTATATATTAATTGAATTGAAAAATGTATAAATTTTAATAATTTGTAGCAACTGGTGTACCAGTTGTAACCACTACAATAACTGATCAATTAAATGTAGCACAAAAAACACAACAACCTTGTTTCCAAAGGGTAATTCAGACCATTCCTGGGAATGTAGCTATAACAAGTCAACCTCCTAGTATAAGAGTAGTACAACCTGCCAGTCAACCAACACCTACTGCCTTAGTGGTAAATACATAAAAGATTATATATTTTTCATTAATATTTTATATTTATTTATATTTTTTTCCAGAATAATATGAACGCGCCTCGATTAACATACGTGATGCAAAGTGGTGTAGGACCAACAAGACAATTATTAATAGCTCCAAATTCCAGTCCGGTAGAATAAATATTTTATATTATTAAAGTTATTTGTTAAAAATTTTATGTTCTGTATAATTAATTTATAATTTGTAATAAAAATTTATTATTATAGATACGGCCAGTAACTTCGTGTAGAGCTTCATTTTCAACTTTAACGTACAAAACGGGTAAGCAATTTTAATAATATAAATTATATATAAATATAATATAATCATATTATTTATAGGAATATCAACTATTGCAAATGGAACAGTTCGAGTTTTAACAACTCCAGCTACTTCAAGTGTACAATTAAATAAGGTATATATATTTTAAATATATTTTTGTTCTAATAATATTTTAATTATTTTTTAACATTATATTTGTTTCAGCATCCTGCACCTTTACCAGATATACATAATTATGCTGTAAATCCTCTTTTGAAACTTCCACCACCAGCTCCATCATTAAAAATTTCTAAAGTTGCACATGGTATATTATAACATATAAATTTATATACAATAAAAATTAATAGAGAAAAAAATAAAAGTTATTGTTATTGTCTAGGTATAGTATTATCTTGGAATATGAATTTATCAGAAAAATATGCAGATATTGTTAGTTACCAATTATATGCGTATCAAGAAATTGCTGGCATTCCTCCCAATACATCATTATGGAAAAAAGTAGGTGATGTTCGAGCTTTACCACTGCCTATGGCATGCACACTTACGCAAGTAATTTGAACAATTATTATTTGAAAATTAAATTAAATTCTAAACAATTGTAATATTAATATACTTTTTTTTATTTACAGTTTTCTGAAGGCAATAATTATTATTTCGCAGTTCGAGCGGTTGATACACATTCCCGAAAAGGACAGTATAGTTTACCTGGAAACATTTCATTATAAAATATATGATTTTTAAGTTATTATATTAATGTTATTTTTGACGCACAGTTATAACAATTCATGATTCATATAACAACAAATTCCGTACAGTCCTTTAAATTATCACATTCATTTAATTTATCACATTCATTACATGTAAAATACATTTAATGAAGTTACAGAAGTGTTTATAATGATCTGTATGATGTATAAAGTACACATACAAGCAAATTTGTTATATAGTAGTAAATATCCAATTAATTGTAAGTAATTCATATATTTCTTAATAAGTATGATACAATTGTAACTAATATATTTTCCTTTCTTTTTTATACATCTTTTAGTTTAAAAATCAAAAAATACAAATCTTAATTTTGACAATATACATATAGTTTACATTTTATATTTATATCGTTTATATCATTACACACAAAATTGCAATGTAAAAATTCCATGCTATTTCGTGCCATGTTTCATAAAGTATTATCATTTGAGAGTATATAATAATTATTTATCAAACATTTAAAGTTATTTTAATTTTATTCTAAATGATTTGTAATAGAATGTCTAGAAAAAAACAATTATTCTAGTCAAAAAGAATTTTTGTAACAAATACTTCATTATTCATACTTCCATAAAGACTGTTACAGTTCAAGACTGTACACTTGTTGTATAAGTTTGGTATTGATATTATTATTCATTCAAAGTGTTCACAAATATTGCTTCCCTATTTATATGTTATACGTAAAATATCATCTACTTTCATTTTTCGTTAAATTTTCTTTATTTTCATTGTTACTTATTGTAATCGAATATTACTAATATATGATTTGCTCAATTTTTATACAATTGTAATAAATTTTAAATGTTAAATGATAAAATACTTCATAGATTTTGCAGTATAGAATGGATGACAATTCACTTTATATTAGTATGTAAATATTAATGTTTATATGTTCTGATTTTTAATATTTGTATTGAAAATATAATAATCTATATATAATAATCTATATAATATAATGATCTAATATTTCTTATATTATTAAGTTTTACTTATTTTTGTGTTACAAAAATGTACAATAAACTAATTGCTCATTTTTCATACGAATTTATATAAAAAAATCTTAGTTTAATAAAATTTTATTTAAATATAGTATAATTCATCTTTTCTCAAATGAAATACATTTTAGTATATAAAAGTGTAGTAATAAGTTATTAGTTATGATATATGTGAAAATTTTATTATTTGTATGTATATTATTATTCATAATTTTATTGTTGTATACATATTTGTATACAACATATAAATAATATAATTTTTTTTAATTTTTATTTATTATTTTCTTATTATAGTTTAACAAGTTTTTTAATTGATATCGTAAAAATATATTGTTATTATTTCACTTAATGAAATTTTAAATTAAATTTCCCGCATTTTTATAAATGTTTTATTAAAAATAATAGATTTTTTAAATTATGTAATAACTGAAGTTTTAAATTCAGTCTTAGGAGATTTTAAATTTATTTTTTATTAATTGAATTATAATTATTTAATAATTATAATATGTAAAATAAATAACTATATGAAATTAAAAATTCTATTTTCAAATATTTATCAAAATATTACTAGTTACAGTTTCCTTCATATCAGTAATTTATAAATGAAATCTTAATAATTTTAACAATCTAAATTACAAAAAAAAAATAAAATTTATAAAATATATAAGAATATATTATATTTTTATAAATTTTATTATTATTACATATATATAATATATATAATAAAGTTACAAATTATAATAATATGAAAAAAATAACGAATGTTTTAACAATTTATTATTTACTATTATTATTAATAAAATCTTGAAATACATCATATCACAACTCCGTAATAAAAAATTTTACTAGTATTTGAAATTATGTTTTGCTAAAATATTTAATTTTCGTCTTTATAATATGTTGCTTCCTTGAATTATGTAAGTAATGAAAATATGACAAAAAATATGTCAAATCAAAAATAATTATGATTTTTATATATATGTTATGTATGATATGAATGTAGTGATAATTTTTTCCGATATTGTAAGAAAAAAATATAAGTGGGGGCGGAAGTAGTTAGTCGGTAATTTGTGTATACTGTTTGATGTACTTTGTGATACAATATATAAAAACTCCGTAATAAAATTATTAAAAAAAATAAATTATAAAATCGAATAATATTTTAATGGAATAAACATATATTTATAAAGATTAATATTCAAAATAGATGTGTATTTCTTCGAATATTGAACATGTGTAAAATATTACGTAGCAATTTTCTTACTTTCGCGATATGTCTTGAATTGACAAACACAACATAAATAATGTTTGAAGACGATAAATTTTTGTCTTTTTGTTAATAACGTATAACCATTTCGAAAAATTTATTTCTATATTGTTATTTGACTATCAATTTATCTTTTTAGTTAATTATTTTGTATCTTGATTTTTCTTGAAATTAAGTCAAAAACATGTCAGCAAATTTATATTAAAATACAAATATATTGTAAAAATCTAACTTTCTAATGGAAATCAATATTCAATTATATTGAATTTATGCGAAATAAAATTCGAAAATGCCAAGTAAGAAAATGAAATATGAAAAATATGAAATATTGTGAAATTATATTGGATTGTTGAAATATTGTTGAATTATAATGGATTGAAATATGCAGTGTCAATTTATTTCATGGGTGTGACATTTTTAAGTTTTATGACTTATATACATCTTCCATTACATGGCAAGTGCTGTTGCAAACTGTCTAAAAGAAGTCAGTAAGCACAGCTCTTGTCTGTAACTGGTAGTGAAATCTACATTGATAATTAGGGGATGCCCAGCCTACATTCGCTCGTCATACGACGAGCTCCACTAATGGATATGGGTACTGCTACTAGTTCTGTGACATCTGTTAATTCTTCTAATAAAGTTGCTACAAACCAGAAAAAAGTTGATAAGTCTAATAAACTTACTGGAGTCAGATTACCTTTATTGCGTAAAGAAGCCAGTGTTGTAAATCTTTCTTTGACAGAGAGGACTGCAGTAGGAAAAGGAATAGATGCTCCTTTACTTAGACCTGAAAGTAGTGCAAGTTTAGAAGCTCGTGGTAATAGCTGGTTGAGTCTAGGTCCTGGAGTATTACGAAAATGTGAAACTGCTGTGGGTTTAAGCACTTCTGCTTTAGAAGGAAGACCCATCAATCGCAGTCGAGTTTGTTCTCGATGTTCCAGTTTATTATCATTGGCATCTAGTTCACGCTATAGTTTAGCTGCAGGCAATTTTGTTCCTGCAAGTTCTCAACAAGCGCTTGGACGTATTTTTTGTAAATTATGTCTTGTTGATACTTCTCTTTCTAAAACATTTAAGATAGAAGGCTGTGGTTGTTCTTATTGTAAAGATGTATGTGTTTTTTTTATACATATTATTATATGAAAAGTTATTGATATATATATTAATAAATATATATATATATATATATAAATACATATGTATAAATATATATTTTGTATATTTTAGTGTATGAAAGCATATATTGAATTTGAAATTGAAGAAGGTGCATATGAAATTAGTTGTCCTGATGCACAATGTGAACATGGAGCAATACTTTCCATGAAGGAAATATCAAGTCTTGTTAGTTCTGAACTTGTGGAAAAACATTATAAATTCAGATTAAATAGAGGTATATAAAATTAATTTTTATATAAAATTATAAAAACATTAATAATTTAATATAATAATTTTCTATATGACATATAGATGTGTCTATGGATAAAGCACGTGCTTGGTGTCCACGTGCAGGTTGTGAAACAATATGTTCCATCAATTCTACTGGATCAAATGGAACTCCTATTGGACCAGTTCATTGTCCTAATTGCTCTACAGATTTTTGTTCTATATGTCGAGAATCTTGGCATACTGGTCCTTGTTCAGACATTTCTTTAGGTATACCATTTGATGGTGATCATATCAAATGTTGTCCTATGTGTTCTGTACCTATTGAAAAAGATGAAGGATGTGCTCAAATGATGTGTAAAAGATGTAAACATGTTTTTTGTTGGTATTGTTTAGCTTCTTTAGATGTAAGTATTTACAATATTCATTTATAGTGATAATAGTATTATATTTCTTTAAAAAATAATGCATTGAACAATATAGGATGACTTTTTATTGCGACATTACGACAAAGGGCCTTGTAAAAATAAATTGGGTCACTCACGCGCATCCGTTATTTGGCACAGAACACAGGTTATTGGAATTTTTGCTGGATTTGGGTTACTTTTACTCGTTGCATCGCCATTACTTTTATTGGCTGCACCATGTATTGTATGTTGTAAATGTCGTGTATGTGGATCATCTAGACTTGAACAAGAGGAAGGTGACACTGCAACATAAAGGAATATGAAAAGTTTTTTAATATTTCTGTAATTTCTTTTCAATATAATGAATAATTAAATTAGAATATTTAACTTGTGCATATAATTGGCGATTTATATAGATATACATTGGAATTTGGAACATCATAAGTTGTATGACAAAAAATATAATGTAAAAATTAATCAATCTATATATCAAAACACTTAATTTTATAAATGAATAGAAATTTAATATTCTTATTTTGTTTTGAATCATTTTTATATATTTTATTTATCATTACAATAATTATTTTTACAAAAATGATTTTGACACATTATATTATTTGTAAACTTATGAACTTAAAAGTATCCATATATTTATATATATTTATATTATGATTGTTCTTACATAAGAAATTTACATTTATTTAAAACTACTTAATATTTAATTGATATTTAACATTTTAGATTATGAAAAATAATATTATCTTTTTATTGTTATCAGATTGCAGTAATATTTTTCATTTTAATGTCTATTATATCAAATCATGAATATTCATACTTTTTGTGTATAACATTCCAGAAAATTATATTTACATTGCATTGGATTAACTGCCATATTCAAAATTGTTTTAAGTTTTTTTTTTTTGTAAAAAAGATATATACCAAATAATATTTTATTTCTTGTTTCTTTTATATGTACATAATTTGCATATTTATATAATAAATATAATACTCAACATTCTTTTCATGTATATTTAATATATTTTTATTGAAATATAAAAAAGAATATAAATAAAATAAATAAATAAATACATATATGTAAATTAATAAGCAATGTATATCTATATTTGATTTCAGATAGAATTTTTTCAAAATTTTCTAAATTATTGATTATATTATAGATTATTTTGTTTTACCACTACTTTGTTTACATAGTTAAATTAATTTTATGTATATTTTTTGTATTATTTTATGTGTTATTATGTGTTATTAATAATTAGCACTAATTTGAAAAATCTCATATTTACGAAAACTTGTAAATTTTGTTAATATATACATATTTGGTACATATTGATAATTTACTATAATAATATATTTATATAGTATAATATAAATGTAGTTTTTTGATTTGAAAGAAAATTATTCCATATGTATTTATCTTAAACATAATTTGTTGATTTGAATTGATAATAGAACATAGACTAAAAATAATGAAAAAATATGTGCATAATATGTTATTTAATATGTATTGCATAAATAGCTAAAATTAGATACTTATGAAACATAAAAAAAATTCTTCTTCATTCTTCAATTTCTGATAATTATATATAATAATATTAAATCTGTCAAAGTATTTTTTTCTGTTCAAAAAATTTATTATGTTCAAAAATATTTATTGTACAATGTTATTATGAATTTATATTGTAATTAATATATACAATATAAGAATAATTTTTTCATTTTATGTGTGCATAAATAAATAAATGCGAGAGAATACATAATATATAGATATGCACATTATGTATAAATATACACAAATATAATATCTTTTAATCATGATTTTTTAATATATTTTAATCATAATCATGTGATTAGTAAATAACAATGAATTAATAAATAAAAAATAAAATAAATTATATAAAACACATAAGTTTCTAAATAGATACATTGTTTTCAATTTATCTTATATTATTGACCATAATTGTGCATGTAAATTGTATTATTTAAGCATGTACTATTTTAATTGTACTATGCTATTGATTGTAAATATACACGTAACATATATTTATTAAACATATATGTAATGTGTATATAAAAATATCTGTATCTGTGTTGGTGCAATTTTGCACAAAAATCATTTTAAATATCAAATATAAAAAATATTAATAATAAAAATATAAATTAATAAATAATAATAATAATAAATTAATAGTTAAATAGATGATTAAGATAACAAGTCATTTGTAATTAATTAATTTTAATTTCTTAATTGTAAAAAATTGTTTAAACAATTACCTAATGTTTAAAAAGTCATTTTGTTCTTATGATTTTCTATATTATAATTATATTTGTATTTAATCTGTTATTTTTTATAGTAGATTTTTATAGTAGATTAATAGTAGAATTTAAAAATGCAAGCAAATACATATACATATATATTTTCTATTATAATCTTTAATGATTTAAAAAATACGATTTAAAGTTGTATAAAGTTGTAGTATATATAAATTGTGTAAATATTTTACAAGGAATGAAATATGTTTTATTTTGTATTGTTTATTATTATAATACATTTTATTATTCTATATATAATAAAATTTAGAAATTTATTTGTTCTTTATAAAATCATTTTAGTAATCGTTTTTTATTATTTTCATAGTTTTTATTATATATATTTTAATGATTGTTTAAAATTAAAATATTTAATATATGTATAATAAGTGGTTATAAAGAAAATTTTACAATATAATTATTGTACAATATAAAATAATTTATATAATTATTATATAGATATCTTTTTAAAATATTTTTTAAAAATAATTTAAATATGTGTAAATTTTGGAAATTTTTATAATTAATTTAAATTTCATTAACTTAATGTGCTGTGAAGTATATTAATAACATAATAAAAATGATTTTTTTTATTTTTAAATTAAGTTATGTTTAAATTATAGAATTAATTATTAATTAATTGAAAAACTCATTTGTATTACTTTATTATTATAGAACATAATTTTAGATAAAATTTTAAGAAATTAAGAAAACAGGAAAATAATACAAACATTTATATAATAACCCATTTATTATTTTCTAATACAATATTTTTTTTTAAGAAAATTTGAAACTTGATTGAGTTAGAATTTCTTGGAATGAAAAATTTGCATTTTAAGATACAATAAATTGTGATTAGAATTTTTTGTAACAGCAAGTTTCCACTCAAAGGAGTTTCATAGGACTGTATACATTTTAAAATCTATCATTATTTAATGTATCTTATTTGCCAATCTTCGACGGACCATGAATAAGTTAGGAGATAGTACATAATTTATGTATTATATGATGACAATTCTGTAGTCCTATTAAGAAGCTGTGATAGATCTTAGATATATATTCACATACGCTAATTTAAAAAAAGAAAATAACAGTCGGTAATTTAAGTCTATATGCTAAAATATATTAGTATTATTATAAAATTAGTTAGTGTCAAAAATATGATAATAAAAATTAATAAAAATGAGTAAACATAATATGGTTGATATATAAGTGGATTATTTAATAAGACCCTTAGCTTTAAATAAATCTCTCATTAAACCTTTTAAATATCCAATTTCTCGTTGTAAATCTGTTACTTGATTTTTTAGTTTTTCATTATGTTCAGTAAGTTCACGTTCTTCACCTAATATTTCTTTTATTTCTTGTTTTTTCTTCTGTCTATATCGTGTGGCTGCATTCTTATTTTGTTCTTTTTTTCGAACTTTTTTATCTTCAATTGAAGGACGAGAATAAGGTTTTTGACGATTTTTCGTTGAAGTACAAGTAGATTGTTTCATATTTTTTTTTTCAGATTCGAAAATCCAATCTGGATCATCCACAGAATCTTCTGATGAAATATAGCTGCCACCAGAGCTGGTACAAGGACTAGATGGTGGAATATCTTTTGTATGTAAACGTACATATTCATCCACTACAGCTAAGTCATGTGCAACATCTGTATTTATTGGATCTAATGGTACATTTTTTGTATGCCATTGTATGCGTGCTTCATTTATATATGATTTTTCCTCTGGAACTACCATACCATATATGGATTGATGATTAGAATATAATGGTTGTACTGGTTGTAAAGTAACAAGTAATTGAGTATCCACATTTAATGGTTTATGTGATGGAGGTGATTGAGGGGGTGTAAGAGTGGAACTTGATGAAGGGACTATTTGATGACAAGCTTCCACATCTCCCAGAACAGTTTCAAATTCTTGTAGCAAAGTTTGTGTATCATCTTGCTGGGGAGTTTTTGTAATTTCATTATATGGTATTGTTTTAATTTGTCCATTTTCAGTAATTGGTAGTTCTTCAAAAATAGGCAATTCTATTTTCTCCTCCAACCAATCCGAAAAAGGCTCTGTAAAAACAATTAATTTTATTAAATATAAATGAAAATTTATAATTTATTTAAGATATATAAAAAGTAAAGATAAATAATTTTGTGATTTTATATTATTTTATCTAAAATATAAGAATTTTATATTACTCAGAATGTTTATTTTATATATATCAAATTTTATATATATTTATTTTCAAATAATTTTGTAATAAATATAAAATAATTTTATTACAGAGAATTTAAGAAATTTCTTTTAAAACAAATATTACAAAAATTACAAAAAATTATGCCTTGCATTACAAAAATTATTATGCCTTGTATTTTAATAAGAAATTGATTTAACTTATATGAATTTAAAAAATTAATATAATCAAAAATAAAAGTTTAAAACAATCATATTTTACATCATATTTATAATCATATAATCATATTTTATAGTTTATTAAATAAGAAGTACTTTTACTTATGTCTTGCATAAAGAATAAGTAGGAGTGGTATATTGATGTATATATAATTTCATGGACATTACTAGTTTAACTAGAAAAACAAGTTCTTTGATTTGCAATTTCTTTGGTTTTTAATACTACACCAATATTAATATATCAATTGTTATTTTAAAAAAATATATATATGATAATATGTATAAATAATATCTGGAATTAAACTTTTATTAAAAAGTGAAGAAAGAAAAAGTTGATTTTTATTAAAAAATTAACAAAAAATTAATTAAATTATTAAAAATAAAATATAAATAATAATAAACTTATATATTAAATTCTTAAATATAAATTAATATAAGTTAAAAAAAAATTTTAATTTACAATTTAATTTTGTTGTTTATCATACTTTAATTCTATTTATTCTGTTTATAATTTTCAAACAAATAATTTGATTATTGAAAAAGATATTAAAAAAAGTTTCGTTAAAATTTTGTGTTTTGTCTATAAATGAATCCTAACCTATTTCTTGATAGATCTTGGATCAGAGTCTAACTTTAAATGCGTAAGTTATCTTCATTTAAATGCAGAGGGCATGGGGTTAGATAAGAATATATTTTTTTATTATAAAGAAATGTTATGAAAAGTATATTTTTTTCATTTTTCATTAAAAAATAAGAAAATAATTTATAAGTAATTTTAAACAATTATTTTAAATAAATTTTTAAATTTTTGATTTATTTTGTTAAAATTGCATAAATTATAGTCATAATAAATGTTAAATTACTAAATATCTAATTTAATAGTAAAATATAAAATATAAATATAAAATAATTAAAAAAATATTTAGAACTAAATATTAATTAATGAAAAATATATATTTTTTAAATTAAAGAATTATAAATATAATTGTAGATTTATATCGAGAATTAATAAGATAGAAAATAAAACTTAAAAAATTTTAAGTTATAAAAATTTAATAAATTCCATAATTATGTTTAGATGATTAATTGAGTTATTTGATTTATATGGCAACAATGTTCTGATATGCGTAGTAAAGATATTTTTTCACTGTAGCAAATGCTAGAACGAGAGAAGAAATAAAGCGAGAGAGAGCGAAAGGAAACATACCACTGTAACATATACCAGCCATTATCACGTGCAATTGTTTTTGCTAGAATCCTTATTCTAATAAAAGAAAAGAGAGAATATATGTTGCATATATGTTATAATTAAATAAAATAGAAAATTATATTTTTAATAATATATAATGATTGTTGTTGACGCGAATTAGCCAAGTCCACTCACAAGAATTTTTGCGAATTGCACCGATTCAACGTCTCTTTACAAGTTTTTGGGAATTGACAATAATTTCTCGGTTCCACGTGTAGCGATATGCGAACTGCATGCTATTACACATTAGTACTCTCCAGCATCGAGATGATAATAGTTCCTCTTTATTCACTTTTAAAAATGCCAGTATTGTTAAAATGTTTGCTCTATACACAGATCTTTTTAATCATTATATGTCACTATAGATTTTTTAATTATATTTCTTGTGTTTAACTTGAATTGATATTACGCTTGAATTGATATTACTTTATCAATCATTTGACTATTGATCAATATAATTAATTAAAAGTTAACTGCTCACAAAAATAATTTAGAATCTTATGTTTAAAAATTAATGCAATTTTGAGTTCACCAAATCCAAATAAATATCAAAAACATGTGCAGCAAATTAACGTATGTTATAAAAAAATTCACATTCGAAATATATATAATTGTTCAGTTTTTCATAAACAAATAATGTCTATATGGATATAAATTATAGATACATTACAGTATATGATAACACAATATAAAAAATTAAATCAATTTTTTTAATTAAGATCACTGATCGTTGATAACACATGTAAGTTAATAACAAACGCGATAGATTTTAATATTGAGAGAAATAAAACTTATTTTCTATAGAAGAATAGATTCGATTGAAGTATCGGTAAACGTAAAATAATAACAAGAAGCTTAAAGTTTGCAGAATGATTAAGTATCGTCAAGAAGTTGACTTATAACGAAGACTAATCGACAGAATCGTACGATTAAGTAAGTTGTAATACTGCGAGACCACTCCTGCTTATCTTTGGACTTTCCCCTCTGACGCCCCTACTCTAAGACTGTTAAAACACACGTCATTCCCCTATCGGCCTTCAACCAAAGCCGTTTGTATAGAGGTTAACCAGTTTGTCCCACTCTCCTTTCAAGAAAAAAAGAAAGGAAAATATGATACATGCTAGAAGAAGTGAGAAGAATGAAAGCGATAGGCATATCAAGAATGTTAAAGTTTCTTTCTTCTTTTGGTGCACATAGCTTTAAAAACTAAAAAATGTTAATTTAATAGATGCATACATATATAAAATTGTATAAATGTTTGTGCATTATATACGGATCGATCGTATTTAAAGATATATTATATTATAGCGCATATCTTTCTAAATGCAATGTGCTATAATAATTTCAGTCTTGTACTAATTCTACTTGAGGTAATTCAAGCATAACAAAGTTTATTATTATAATTGAAATAAATATATATATGTATATAGTTTTGAATTAATATAAAGATTTATAAATATTGATATGGATTTTAAGATATTAATATTTCAATAAAGATTTTTTAATAAAATTTGTGTATATAAAATTGTGTAATAGTTTTATTTATATTAGATTTAAAATTATAATAATTTATATAAATTATAATAATTTGATCTATATTATATCAATATTAAATTTGATTGTAATTATTTGTTTATATTTAAATATAAAACATAATATATAATATGAATCTAAGTTCTTAAATTTGTTCAATATTAAATAGATTTTTGTTATAAAATATCAAAACTAAAAGAAAAATATTAGAATTTATAAAAATCAGATTTAATGAACAATTTGTATATTATAATTTATAGGAATTTTAAATGAATACTTACCTTCTTTAATCCATTCATCTAATTTTTCCAAAAGTTTTGTAGCTACTTGTGCACGAGTAGGATGATTTTCATATATAATAGGTTCAGCAATTTTTTTAGTAGGATCTACAGATTTATCATCAAATAAAAACCAATCATCTTCAAATTCATTGGACAGTGTTCCATTAGGAGACACTGGCTCGAACTTCCATAGCCAACTTTCCTGGTCCTGATTGGATATCATTGTTGATATTGTCCCAATCAAGATGTATCAAAAAAAGATGAAAAGAAATTTGTATCGTCTGTGCGACACAGCTCGAAATGAGCGCCATATTGGCTCTGAAAATATTAAATATATATATATATATATCTCAGATAAAATAAATAAATAAATTGAATAATTTATTTGTGATAAAGATATTAATATTTTATTTCTCATTAAGTATTTTGAGAATAATATAAAGAAATATCTTATTTTTTGAAATATTTGTTTTTCATTAAGTTGAAATTTTAATTGTTAATCTAAAATAAAAAAAGATATTAAAGAAATAAAATAAAATATTTTTATAATTTATCAATATATTTATAATTTAGATAAAATTAATAAATTATTTAAAAATTGATTTAATATATTATTTAAATATACGTAATATAAATATGTTGTTCATTGCTTATATACCTTAAAAATAATTTATAAATGTAATATATATTTACAGAATATAGGAAAAAATGGCCAACTATCTTTATGACGCAACATTAGATCATGTCATCTGGTTAAATTTTTTCATTATATTTAATTGTATTATAAGATATTAAAATATAATATATAATAGTAAAGTAAAATTCAATAAAAATTGATTCATATTATTTAATAAAATAGTTTGTTTAAGCAATAGTATTTGTGGTCAATGTAATAGATTTACAAAATGGCAGACATATTGCACGATGGTCTAAAGTGGAGTATAAGTTACTTTTTTAAAGGTAATAAATATTACTTACTCCATGATTAATTAGTTGTGTCGGCACACTTTCGTGTGCAAATTGCTTCGTGAACTACTGACTCATCTTGCCCGTGATATGAAACGTATAAAAAATTCAACTGTCTTTCTTTCGTGATGCATGGATAGCGAATGAGCGTCTCCTTCAGAGAATTTGACCGCTGAGGTCACGTGATTTGGGAATGCGTACGCATAGGTGCTCAGTTTGGAGTATTTTCATGGATTTTCTGCGCAGATTATGCTATGAAATCGAATTCTCTTTTTATTTCTCTTTATAAAATTATATTATGAATTAAATAGTTTTTTAACCTAATTTAATTATTAAATTATTTAATATAATAATATAATGATAATTTTTTAAAAATTCTTTTTTTTATAGCAATGTTAATAAATATAAATATATATACATATTATGAATAAATATATACGTATATGTTTGTCAATATAATACATACGCATACTACATATATGTAGAATATATATAGAGTGAAACATATTATTTTATATAATGTTAAATATTTTATAATTATATTTTATATGTTATATTTTATAGAAAATTTGGAACTTTCAAAAAAATCACAATAATTTGATAATATGTTTACATATATTTATTTTTATTTTTATTTCATAGTGATTAAATTAAATTAATTCGATAAAAATAAATTCTTTATATATTATATTATTTATTTACTTATTTTATTTTCATAAATAAAAATCTTTTATTTATAATAAATGTATTTTTATTTTAAAAAGAATCATAATTTACCAAGGTTAAATATTTTTAAAATATAAAATAAATAAAATATTTTCTTATATTTGATATTAAAATTGACAATATTGAAAAAATAATAAAATATTTTTATAAAATAGTTTATTATAAAATTATAAATTTTTTGAAACACTCTCTTTTCACTCATTCTTTTATAATAAACGATTTATTTTTAATCGATTAATAAATAGTTAAAAATATCAATTAAAAATATTTACAAAAGAATCAAACTACAATTAAAAAATAATAGATTATTGAATAATGTAAATTATATAAAATAAATAAAGTAATCATAAAAAATAAATTATAAAATAAAATAACTTTTTGCTAAATATTTTCTTAAAAGTCAATTTTACACATTAATATAATTAATGTAATTCAAATTTATAAAAAACTATAATAAAATATGGAAATTAGTAAAATATAGTAATAATAAAATTTATTGACTTATAAATATATTATTATAACAATTTTAGTTTAAAGCAATGGCGATAAACATATAAATTTTAAGCATGTTATGCTTAGATATTTCTTTTTTGTTTAAAATATTCTTTTCTGAAAATCATATTTAAAATCATTGCCAATTTTGTTCTTATTTCTATTGGTACAAGAAGTACGATGATCTTTTGAATTCCATGACTCCAATAACCTGTACTCGAATCAATTTTTCCTAGAGTGTTGACTGCATTTTTGGCGTAAGTTGTTGCACTAGGTACTAATATATTGGATACCTTTGTCATCAATTAATTAATTATAAATTTCTTAATGGTAAGCTTCAATTATAACATACACAATTTTTATGCTATTCATTTCTATTTTTTGCTTACCTGTAACCAATTGCTGAACGCATTCATTTTTGTATTGACGAAAAATGGAGATAAATGTTGTATAGTTAATCCAAATTTAGAATATTCAGCTCTGAGGGCCTCGGTAAAACTTATAATGTAAACTTTCGTCGCAGAATATACAGTCATTAATGGCAAAGGTATAAATCCCGAAGCGGATGATACATTAACAATTGCGCCTTTACCTCGCTTTTGCATTTGTCCGATGACTATACGTGTCATTAATGTAGTGGCTCCAATGTTAATATTGATGATATCCCACAAATCATCTTCTGGAACTTCTCCGAGATACATAGGATGACTATACTGCACGCCTACATTATTGACTGGAATAGATTTGGCTTATTTTTCAATTATGCTATTAACAATATATCAATAAACGAATAAATAGTGATAATATATATATATATATATATATATATATATATATATATATAGTGATAAATGATAAGTATATAAATAATATATGAATATAATGCCTGTATTATACTAATGATTTCCTTCCTATTATGCTAATGATTATATAAATATCATGTTTTATAAAAAACAAAAAAAAAAGCAATGAAAAAAGATAATTATGATTCAATTATCACATACCTAAAATACCAATTGGAATATCTTTTAGTTGTTCTGCTAGTTTCTCAAAGATTTCTTTTCCTTTGCTGAAATCTGCTACGATAATCTTTATTTCAACAGTTGGATTCTCTTGCATAATTTCGTTTCTAGTTTTTTCTAATTTTTCCAAGGATCGACTGATTAACACCAAATTTATTTTCCTTGTAGCTAATTCTTTTGCATATGCTTTGCCAATTCCATCGGTGGATCCAGTCACCACTTGAATTAAATATTTTTAAATATTATTTTTTTTTTTCGAGGAACAGAATATATAATATATTTTTATGAATTTTTTTTTTTACCTGCCCATTCGCCGAATTTTGTTCGTAAATCGACTGTTTTCGTATTGATTAATGATACAAAAATCTCCCATAACGTGGTCCCCATATTAAAAATATAAGTCAAAAGCAGCGAGATTAGCAGCAAAGTAATAAACAGCCAGAATACAATTTCCAATATCATTTTCCTTTAACACAAATTTGACACAAAGTTTTAATCATTATAAATAATCAAAATATTTTATAAAAAATTATGCGAATTTATATTTTGAAAGAAAGATCATTGAATTGACAAAATTATTAATAAAATCTATCTTATGTTTTTTGAATATATCTATTTGTTAAATATATAGTATAGTATAAAGTACAAAAAACGCGATATAGAAATTCATGATAACGAGTTATTTCACAAATAATTGTAGAAATCGCGTGTTTTGAGATAGCTTTGTAATTAATACATATAAAATAAGAACAATAAGCACAATTTCTTTCACATACAGTATTGTGAATTCGTATTATTTTATTTGTTAATATTTAGGATTCGAATAAATGAAAATATAAAGTTACATAAGTTATTAAATATTTTTCTTATTTTTCATTCGTTCAGTAAATATAAATATTTTACGTTTTTATCTTTTTCACAAAGTTTTTAAAATTCTCTTTTTTTTCTCTTTGTTTTTTTGTGGTATTTCCGGATTACTTTATAATCAATTTTCGTAATCACGATAACTTTTTAGACTTCTTACGATTGTTGTAAGTATTTAAACGATGGTCAACCAACGAAGACCAAAGTGAGACTAAAGCTACCAGTGTCAAGTGGACAATACAAATGGCGATCGAACGAAAAATACTTTCTCCCGCTACTATACCAAATAATATCCGCGTTTCTTTTATACAGGATTCTTTTATACATATATGCAAAGAATGCAAAGCGATAAAATTATTCTTCTTCGCATTTTATATCCGAAACACCTTTACCGCTGAATACGTTGTTGGAAATCTGTTTGATCAGCACATTAATATTTTTATAGAATCGTTTCAATTTTGATACAAGTTTTTAAATTAATAGATTTCGATCGTATCGATCATTCATGATTTTTACACGTTTTCTCGATAAGTATATAATAACGATACTTAATATTTAATTAACATTTAATGCGATATTTCGTAATTTTAGTTTCTTTGCGTCCGCGCATGTTTTCACAGCCAACAATGTCAGACGCGACTGACAGTTATTCTTGTTTCATCCGTATCCCAAGATATATAGTATTTTTTCTATAAAGGAATATTGCCTTATAATTCCATATTGTCATTGTTAAATAAATTCATTTCATATTTTGACTTTATATATATATATATATATATATATATATATATACATTAGTAAAAAATATATAAAAATAAATATATAAATATATAAAAATATATAAAAATAATTTTTAATGATTTCTCTTATCCAAAACAATCTGCTTTACATTATATAATCAGTTTATAATGTGTTTTTCATTTAAAGTTAAGTATTAATCAAAGTAAATTTTTTTATTAGTATTATAGTATTATTACAAGGCATTCGATCATTAAATAAATATTCTTTTATTCTTTCTGCTCCATTTCCAATATGAATTTTTCAATGATAATTTCTGTAACAAATTATAATATTTATTATAAAGTTAAATAAGAAAAATAAGTTTTTTGAATTTTACTTGCCAAATAAATTGAATATAATCTCGGTCTTTGAATTTTGTAGCAGAGAAGAACGGTTGGAAAGTGGGAACAGGTAAAGAAGGAAGATCATCGTGTACGCCGATAAAGAAACGAAGATGAAACATCATAGGTGCGCGCGCGCGCAGCTTCTTTCACTTCAACAAACTGGGCACCATGTTCCATCCTTGTGTCAGAGGGAATTTCTCAGTCAAGGCAATAGCCGTTTATCCATCGACTCGGCAGTCTTACATGCCGCGTGTTTGCTTTGAAATCTCCGCTGTTTCTGGTGAATTTTTCGTCTCCCATCATCCTTCCATCATCGTCGAGACTAATTGGAACGAAATTAGAATCTTCCTCTAAAACTATCTCACAGTTGAATGTGGAGCGATCATCTAAGGAGGCCATTTATCCGAAACGTTCTCTAGAAAAAGAATTTCAAGAGAGTTTTATCGAATCATTCGATAAAACGTTTTATGAAAGTATAGAACAAGTAAAGAATGCCACGTAATTTTTGGCAATGCGTGGTTCGATCTCTTGACACGTAACAGGTGAGTTTCTCTTTTATTTTTTCGACGATTCTTCGTGTTGGAGCAATTTTCCGGCTCGATGATTTGTGTATTCGCGTTGACAATCAAGATACGATAAAATACTCGTCGTAATCGATTTGCGATTTTTCATCGATGGCATAGATACCGATAAGATATTTATATATTTTATAACACGATTGCGATTATTAGTAAGAGGGATGGGTCGAATCGAATGATACGGTCAAGAATGAATTCCAATGGTATTGCGTAACGAAATACTAGATTTGATTGATCACGTCTTTCGCCATTCATTTAATGTGTCCACATTATTGACGTAATGAATTTTCAACACCTATTATTCCATTTATAACAATACTAGGTACAATACTAAAATATTTGTACATCAATCTGAATCGATACTGTGGACTAATAAGGAATGAATTAATTATTCAATTGATGATGGAATTTTATACGTTTTTTTTTTATATATCGAAAATATATGTCACAAATCTATAAATTAAAAATGTTAGGTTTGAATTAGATCAACAAAGACGAAGAAAGAACAGAAAAAAAGAAAGAAAGAAAAAAAATGTCTATTCAATATTAATAATCTTTATTATATTATATTATATATTATATATATATATATATATTTATATAAATAAGAAAAGAAAATTAATAATAAATAAATGATAGATGATAGATGATAATCATCTTTGAGATAATGAAGTACTTGTGTAGTTAATTCATCGTTCAATTATTATTTTAATACAATTAATTTTTCAATAAATCCGATGGTTAATGTTAGGATAGAATTAAAAAGATTAATTCTAATTTTTTTATTAATAAAAAATAGCATGCAATAAATAGCGTGCAAAAATATAGTATTAAAAATTATATTAAAATAGTAGTCATAATACTATAGTATTAACAAATAAGTTTAATTTGAGATAGGTAGAGAAATTTTAATGCTATAAATATCTATATCTTCATTAATGTTTTGGATGACATTTAGAATAGAATAGTATATATAATTCTTTAATTATTTTTTATTTTGGCATTTTGAAATATTGAAATAGAATGATAAAATAAAAACAAAACATCATAAGAAAAATATTATAAGTAATAACAAAATTCTATTTTTACAAAATATTTTTTCAAGAAGAAACAAATCTCTCAACTCAATAGATTCTTGAATAATATATATGATAATTTTCATGTATTTTTATTCATAAAAGTATTTGCACATTATGTATTGCATAATATTATGCATCGATACAATTTTTTTCTCGTAAAAAAAAAGAACGAATTATAGCTTAGCTAAAATATAAATATAAAGTATAAGTATATTACGAAACTTAAGAACAGGTATTTTGCGTGTAGCAATGTCTCCGACCGAGTTTATTACTTCCAAGTAATGACCTGAATTTTTTTATTTTATCAAAATATCATTTTTAAAAAATTATCAATTTTGAAGCAACAAAAATTAAATTAATTCAGTTCACTTTTGATGCTCTATTCAAAAAACAGATATGCTCTAGATATTTAGATGTCAAACATACCGCAAGATGTCCATTCAGAACCGGCTTTAAAGGATTTCAATCGGAACAGAGTATGAAACGAAGGCGCTTGACCTGATTACCATATTATTTGCTTTCCCGTTAAGATGCAAATCACTCTACACTATCTATTACAATAATAAGTATATTTTATTTATTTGCAATTTTTCTTTTCGTTGATTAATTCTTAAGGATTTATACGCGACTCGTGCAAAGTGAGAGAATTGACATCAATGACGTTTAATTAAACAGGAGAATAATTGAAATAAGACTCTCGAGCTGTTGGTATTTCTTAAGCGATTGGAATTGATTCGTTAACCTTTGTAAATTGATCGCTACGTTTTCCTGTTCAATTATGAAAGCAAATAAAAAAAATAAAAATTCTTTTATTTACTTTTTCTATGTTTCATTAAAAATATTTTCTATTCTTCTTTTCTCATCGAATGTATGTATTTTTTTTTAATTTTTTCAGAAACGATTATATTAAAGAAGAAGGATTATTAAATAACTATTTATTTAAGGATAAATCAATGACCCGGGTGGATGGGAAAAACGATGATAAAATGTCGTGTCTGGGAGACAATTTTGCTTCTTCTCAATATTTTAAGTTTAACGATAGATGCGAGCATAGTTGGAGAGCATATCTCGATGAACGATGATAGAAAAAGATCCATGGAGATAGATGATTCCGTGTACTCTTGGACAGGACCCAATGCCCTGGCGAGATCAGCTTTGGTGGAACGTCAGGAAAGATTACAATATAATTGCGAGGAGATCTTGGGAGATAAGGAATCCGAGAACCAGGATCTAAATCCAGAATCTTTCAGGAATATTCTTGTGGACGAGCAACATGAACTTTTATATTGTTATGTTCCAAAGGTATGATTATTAAATTTTAAATAAAATATAAGGGAAAAATATGCACAGATAATCGACAAATCTTCCGATTAAATATTTTTTATCTGTCATGAATTTTAGTTGATTAATAAGTATAATTTTTTTCATCTTCATCAAATACTAATTTCTACTTTTCTTTCGTAATCTTTTGCTTTTTAAAACGATTTTCTTGAAAATAAATTAATTCCTTTTTCTCGATTTAATTTTGAACAATTTTCTAATCGATCTTATGAAATCTTATTTATTTCGAACCGTTTTATCTAATCCAAATGGAATTTTTAATGCTTTGTATTTTGATTTGATATTTAACTGCATTAACATAGTTGATCTTTTTTTTTTCTAACATTCTCGGCTGTGTTTGTTTCAGGTTGCCTGCACGAACTGGAAACGAGTTCTGATGGTTGTCACGGGCAAGTGGCCAGGTAACGATCCTATGGAGATACCGGCTGATCAGGCGCATTCCCCAAGTACTTTCCAAAGGCTCAGTAATTATACTTTGTCCGAGATCGAACGAATGCTGGCGACTTATGACAAACTGATTGTCGTCAGACACCCTTTAGAAAGATTATTGTCCGCCTACAGGAATAAATTGGAAGCGAAACACGAGAAGAGTTCGAAATATTTTCAAACCCGTTTTGGGAAGAAGATTATCAGGGTATAGTTTTATTTTTACGTTTTTTTCCCCCCTTGTTTGCCTCTATATCAAATAAATTACAAAAAGAGCGTTCTTTCTTGTAGAGGTACAGACAAAACGCCACTGTGGAATCACTGAAAAACGGCGATGACGTGACATTTCGAGAGTTCGTACAATTCGTTACGGACGATTCGTCGAATGAGACGCGAAACGAGCACTGGAAGCCGATATACGAGCTGTGTCATCCGTGTTTGGTCAATTATAATCTCGTCAGCAAATATGAAAGCTTAGCGGAGGATGCTACAGAAGTTTTGGAGCGGATGGGCGTCGAGTCAATCAAGTAAGTAATTTCGATATTTTCTCGTTTGTTTAACGTTCATTTAACCAACAGTATTATCGATTATTTTTCTAGTTTTCCAACCAAACCGATGAACAGCGAGCCAACTGCGAAGAAACTGGAGAAATATTATTCCACGTTGACGTATAAGCAACTTCGGAAGTTGGTGGATTTGTACAAATTAGATCTAAGATTATTCGATTATTCGCTCGAGGACGTGCTGGGATTCTCGTTGGCTTGATTGCAAGTTTACTCGAGAATTTCTGACAACAGAGATGAATTACGCTTCGAATTATGAATAACTATGTTAATGGTTAAATAGTATTATGCGTTTACTCGGTTGTAATAAATCATACGAGTTAATTATTCCTGTTTTCGACATACAAGCACCGGTTCGCGTGCATTAATTTGCTCAGGTCTTTCCTTTATATTTATGTGTCTAGTTATCATTTAATAAATCGAAAACTGTGAAACAAAGTCTTCGTTCCATAAGATCGAACCGGTTATCGTTTTGAGAATCGAGATAGTTGTTAGTTGTAGTAGAGAGATTTTTTCCTCCTATGTCGTTGCTCCCTGTATTTTTAAAACGTTCGCGAATCTCGTGCCAAGAATTTAAAAGTAAAAAAACCGGTTGTTTGTGCCAATGAAACATCTGTTGATAACTTTCTTCCAGAAAGTCGTATGGTGTTCCCTTTGAGTTTCTAGATCTTGAAATATCTGCATTTCATTCATTCGAATATTTTATTTTATTTATGTAGATGTTTAAAAGTAAAAGGTCTAGTGACTGGTGTCTCGGTTAGATTTGTTGTAACAGGATGCCCGCCATATTCGTGTACCTACGTATGCTAGTAACGTGTACAAAATGTACAATTTACATTCCTAGAAATAATTCATTTTGTAGCATGTACTATAAGTTACCAATCAACTCTCTCTATTTGTTAATACACGAGTAATTCAATTGAGAATTGAATAAAGAGATGTTTTATAAAATATTTCAATTATGCCAAAGATTTTAATAAGATTACGCCTGATAAGAAATTAGATGATAAATCTATCGATCGATAAAATTTTGATCGTATCGAAAGTCACGCGATTTCATTAAATGTTACAAATATAAGCGAATGTACGAAGCTTAGATTGAATATGTTAGCGTATATTGTCCATTATAAGGTTAATGTTTGGTTTACGAGATAAAATTAACCGAAGGACTGGAAATGATGAACGACGTTGGTAAAGAGGAGCAGCTCTGCGCAGCTTAATCAAATGTTAAAACTCAGCGAACCGAGTTTCCTCGAGGATTAAAATAGCTTTAGCTATCAATCAAATCGAAGGACTCTCCTCTCATTGATTATTGAATGCTGGATAATCGAATTTATCGTTTCTTTTCATTTCCTTGTTTCATCTTTGTTTGCATAAAAAAGTTGGAAAAAAAATTTCTCTTAAATCATGATTACAATTGTTAAATAAACATATATATATATATATATATATATATATATATATATATATAACATATTAAATAACATAAACAGATCACATTTTATATCGTTTTTCTGATGAATCATGTTTTTTTTCAATGATTAAAATTTTATCACGTGGGAAAAACCGTAGCGCCACACATGAATTCTGTCAACATTCCAAGTTTAAAACGTAGATGTTTATAAAAGTAATTTCTGTTTAAAAATAAGAATCGATTTTTTTTAACACTTTTACCTAAGCTAAGTGACATCGACTTTTTGTCTCATGTTATAATTAAATTAACGCTTCAATATATGGTTGGTTTGTATTCCATTGAGCATAATGCTTATATTATACACGTGCATTTTTCACGTACGAACTGTACATGATAGATCTCATTAATAGATTTGATTAGAATCATTTATACGTGAACCAAGTTAATAAATACTTCATTGATAAATTATTCGATAAGAAAAGAAGAACAATGGATCTTATTATCTGAATAAGGATACTTATATATATAAGTTTATGCAGAATCATGAACGAATCTCTTCTTCGTTCCAGACTTCATCTTTCCTCGTAGAGTATATTCGAAATGATCTATAAATCGATGATAAGTTTTTTAGAAAACTTTATAATTTAGAGAACCGAGATTTATGATATCTCTTATTTTTTTTTGTCGTTCTAAATTTCGTTTAATTTCTCTCGCATTGTCGCAACGCTCCTCAAAGGCCATTGATCGCTACTTACACGACCTTGAACCCGCGAAATATCTTTACGTCGATGATGATAGTGAATCGATCCGAAACATTTTCCACTGAAGCTGTATCCAATATTCACGATGCTTAATATAACTCGAGGTGGCAGAACTCGTTGATTTCGCACCAGTAAAAGACGGTGGTGGGACCCGGGCTACCAATCCTGGATCAGAAGTTACAAGGGAAGCTGCAACGTGGTGGTATCCGTGATCGAATTGGTGGGGGATTTCACACGGATTCCTGGAGGAATTTCGGGATCTTCGTTCGTATCGTGGATCCTGCGTTGAGTGATCTAGTCGAAGATCGGACGCAAAGTGGCGCGGTGCTTGATCTCAGATTTTCCCGATCGATTCTCCATTTTTGATCGTCCAGCGTGATTTATCCGAAACTTCCGTCCGATCCGTGAAACGGAGACAATAAAGGAGACTGATTCATCAAGAATAAAAAAAAAAATTAAACAGTACGATCAATATTTTGGGTAGGAATATTTCGTTCGTCGGAGGAAACAACTTGACGTAACCGTGATCGCATGCTGATATTAATTTTTCTTTAGTGTCGTGAAACATCTATCGTGAAAAATGCCACAGGCAGCCCACGAAACGAAAAACATCTTAACCACGTACTTTATACTCATCCTCCTGCTGATTTGCCTCTGGTTATTGTACTCGGGATTGTTTTAACTTTGAAATTGACGTTTCTCGTCATGGTAAGTTCGCCTCTAATTCACAAATAATTGCTGCGCGACACTTGCTTCCTATTGTACTATTGATCATTGAAATCTCCGCTACAATGGTTCATTCTGTTACCTTGCAACGTAGCGTTAAAAACGTTCGTAGTAAAACGTTACTTTTGTTCGTTCCAGGAATGAAGTAAGAAATATACGAAGGGAATTACACGTTCGACGACAATTATATATCCTCGATTGATCAACGATTATACTCAGGATACTCAGGATACATTGGATACACCGATCCCTCTTTCATCCAATTAACGACTTTTTTTTCTCCGCATTTTTCTCTATCCGCATAAAATCTATTTTAAAATGAACGAGACAAGCGTAATCCATTTAAGCTCTTTCAATGTTCTCCACGAGTATTACATTCGCTTATCCCATTCTCCCAAGATTTTATGTATCTCACGATAATTGAACGTGAAAGAGATAGTCTTACTTCTAATAAAAGGAACAACCAAAATAACGTAGTTTCATAAATAGGTGAATGATTGTGAAGCACGATGATAAAAGGAAGCCCCGACGCATATTTTTCTTTGTTGAAAATTGAAGAATTACAATCTCTTAGGGATTCGATCGAATCGAGATACGTTCCAAGCATGGAAACGATTCAAAGTCTGTGCGAAAAAACATTGAAAGTGAATAAATTGGAGGAGAGAAAAATTGGACGAGGAGCAAAGAAAAATATTCGAGTGCTTGCGTGAAGATGGAAAACATCTCGGGGTACACGGTCGATGGGTAAGAAATACGTGGGTGTTTAGTCGAAAATAGCGAGCGATGCTTCCAGCTCTTTTCGCCAATGTACCACGGCCGTAGTATGTCCGACGTACAGAGAACTAAATCGGTATTTTCGATAGCAATTCCGAAAATAGACGATATGAACATACATCTTGCATCTATCTTGAATATTTCCACGCTATATAGATATTAAAAACATGCAACGACGACGCGATACCGACCGAATTTTCACGGTTGTTACGCAACATTGTTGCTGGTTCTCATCATGGATCGGATTACCGATTCTACCTTCGATTTCGGTTGTCTCGAATATTTTTACTTATAAATAGAATACCGCGAAGGAAACGTAACTCTCAAAATGTAATCGAAACGAATACTTTTTTTCCTCTTCCTTGTTCCTTCGTTAAACATTGTTGAATAAATGTAAATTTTTCCATCTGTCGTAGTATAATTTTCACAACGCTTTCCACGGCCTCTCAAACAACGCTTTGCAAAAGCGTTCCTATCGCGTTACACGACGAAAATTAATCGCGCGTATAGCGGAGGAAGCGTGACTTCCGGTTTCGACACGGATCGGGACAAGTGTACCGAGCCGAGATTCTGATTAACTATCGTTGTTTCTCTAGAAATTCGTATAGTATCTGGGTCCGTTTATTAAAACTCTGTCCAACGTCGCGACACACTACCACACGAGGATGAAACTTCAAAGCGGAAACACGGCAGAGAAAATATTTTTACTAGCTGGCGGATGGTAAACGTTGCCTCCGTGGCGTTCCAGTAATCGCTCGAAATAGATCTAATTGCTCCAGATTCTTGCCTGCTGTCTGTGTCAGATTATATTACACAATAGATCGAGTCTGTGTTCGATCGAATTATTATTGACCAAGGTCTTGGAAATATCGATAACCCATATATATATATATACATATATATATTCGATAGAGCGTAGTTCAGAATGGTGCAATTCGAAGGAAAGAGAAAGGCAACATTGCTGTATCTATAATCTACTAGCGTTATTTATTGAGTGTTTAAATAAACATGTCGATTGCTGTTTACAATAGTCAGTATTTATGATGTATTTGGATTTTGGCTCTTCTGACTTGATTTCAAACTAGCGCGAAAAAATAAGTATAGGAAATAAATGATTTCTGCGACGCTTAAAAAGCTACAACCAAGGAACAAACTAAAGATTCCACCGACTGATGCTGAAACGTAAATTTGAATTAATTTAACTTGAATTTAATAAAACAAATAATAAAAAAAAATTGAATATATTCAATACCCAAAAGATAAGTTTCGTTAGCGGCTGATAAGGTTATTGAAACTTGATAAGTTTGCGAATTCATGTAAACATTAAGAATAGTACTTTTCTGTGACACGTTTCTACTGCAAAATAACGCATATTATGAGTATAGTTAATGTAATATTTATGAAATGAACTCACGTGGAACTGGTTTTCATTAGAATTATCGAGTTAGGAAATCCATCGTAGTTCATATAAGTGCACGGCGTCCTACAGGAACAAGAAATATCTTTGCTCTGGATATTCTTCACGATTCTTATTTTTTTCGCGTTTCTCTGAATACACTGTAGACGATCCAATTCACAATGCTAAAAATCGATCGGCCTAATTCGTGATTTCGTGAATATCGTGATTTATCGTTTTAACGATAAAATTTCCATTACTTCGATCTTATTGTATTCAGCTACGTTGTTGTAAATAAATGGTAAGCAACCACAATACCGAAGCATGGCCTTGACTCTACAATTCGCATAACAGTTTGAATATCCATAGATGGAGAAATATTCCAAAGTATTTTGATCTTCCGCGATGCATAAAGGAACTAACTGGTTCTCTTTGTTACGATGTTGGAGTCCTTTTGGTTTCTGAATTAATTCCGGTTTAATAGCGATCTGGAATAATTAATTAAGAGAATCAGTGATTCATCGATTCCATTTTTTATATTGAATAGATTACCTTTAATTCATGGTTTGCTTGTAACATGTACATATTACTACTCAATCCTGGAAAATCCATTCTATCATGTATGACTACCTAATTGCGAAAATAATACAGATAAATTTTATTTTGAATTTCATCTTAAATATCGATTCTGCGAAATTATCATTTTTCCTCGTACCACTATACCATTATTATTCATGGAAAAATTCATAGAATTGTACGAGTCTTCCTCGTCGCTCTGTTGTTGAAATTCTTTATTGATCACAAGTTTCAAACCGCTCTCTGAACCAAAGTCAGCGGATCCCAAAGGTTTTGGTCTTACTTGACCTCTTTACATCATCGATAAAAAAAGAAATATACGTACAAGGAAATAATACAATTTCTCGAAACGATTAAAATATTGTTGAAATACTTGCTTCTGAGATCTCATGTAACCTTCGAGAAGATAATTAAACGAGCAACACAATCCATAAGAACTATACGAGGTCTTTATCGATTTACCACAATCTATCCGTTCCGTATTCCATTGACACGATTCGAAGATATCTTCGCAATTTATCAAAATTTTCACGAATTCTATCACTTTCCATTTATTGGCATTCAAAAACGCTTTTAACTTATCGATTTCCTCGAACTCTTTGCTCGTGTACGAATGAGTTATAAGGTGGCCGTATCTATATTAAATTTCACGTAATTTCATCGGTATTTTTTTTTTTTTTTTACAATATTTTTTGCAATTTGTATACGTACTTCAAAATGTTTAACGCAAACTCTCTGCTCACGTTCTCAGGCAATATCGCGTTCTCCAAAATGGCCAGACGTTTTCGCATAGGAATTGGCATAGTTGGACAGATGGTTACAGCAGGAAAAGGAGCTTTGAATATCGGTTCGTCGAAAGTCAGTATATACGTGTTGGTCGGATTTTCATTGTAACGACGTAGAAATTGCATTACCATTAAGCTCAAACCTGAAACGAAACACATACTTAATTCTATGTATTATTTTTATACATTTTATCTCGAAGAAAGGACAGATACCGATGAAACAACTGAATATAGTGACACTCCATAAAATCTTTCCAAATGTTCCGACTTCTATATCCGTTTTACCGAAATATTGCAAACCATGCACGGAAGTACTTTCCAAAAAATCGGTTAAAATGTCCAACGAGGTTGGATTCTTTTTTCCCTTTTTTGGAGGATTGGTTACATGTTTCGTGACATTCGACTTGGCTTCGATCACATTAATTTTACGATTCGATCGTTTTTTTGATATCAAATTATCGTGCTTTTTATCGTAATACAAGAATTCTTGATTCTTATTGTTTAATTTTTTAGACATAGTTATTGGGGTTTGCTTTTTGAATTCTTGCTCGCGACTTCAGCAATGTTCATCATACTGGTTATTTTTCGTGTCGAATACTGCGTTTTATTATAACAAGGTTGTGTGCTTGTGATTTAAATTATTCAGTAGCTATTTTAAAATTTATTAGATCCGTAGGTGGTGTGCATGATGATCTTATCACGATTAACGAGACACTACAATACAATTGGATTTGTAGTGTGTTCAAGGTTCAAAAAGTTGATACAACGATCGTTTCAAAGACAAGAAGATAAAATTTAAAAAAAATTCACGATTTAATTCTCTCTTGAAATGTAACGTACTGTTGCACGATACATCAAATTACAAATACTTTGCATTACATTAATTTTTATAAAATTATAATAATTTCTACTAATCATCACTTTTCTTTTTTTTTTTTTCGTATCAAAAGGAACGTACATCGATAAACTTCTCATGAATTCGCAATTCATAATCTCGAGATTATTTTTCCTTGCACTTCTCTTTTCTTTCTTTCTTTTTTATTTACAATGACGAATTACTTTAAAACAACGAAAAAAAAAAATATCTACTCTACTCAGCGAATATAATGAATAAATAAACTACGCACAACGAGAATAATACAAAAAGGGGCCGCTATGTACAAAATAAAAAGGAACTCCTGTTTGAACGTTTGCGAAACTTTATACACATCACAATACCGTTAACTCAATGGTTCTAATCTCGACACGGAAGGTTGCAAACGAATTTGCGTCAATGAATGTCTGGCATGATTCGAACGATTGTCCATGACGTTTCTTTTAGAAATCTTGAAACAGAGCCAGTTGTTCCGGCGGCAATGGAGGTTGAGAACGCCAATCGGTTTCCGGATAATCGTCAAAACAGCTTGGATCGCCTGGTGCCTTCACTCGTGGTCTTATTGGGGGTGTAAGAGCTCTTTGAGGTACCTATTCGTGTAAAATAATAATGCAACGATATATACAAATGACTTTATTCATCTTAAAGTAACAAAAAAAAAAAAAAATATTATTTTCAATTCGAATTGAATTACCAACGGCCATTCGACTAATTTGAACCAACGATGCCTTTTCACGTCATCGGCACCTTGCCTCATATTTCCTAGCCTTTTCGTACGATCTGCAATTAAAAGCTTTTTGATCAAATCCTTGGCGATTGGATCCATATGTTTTGGCCATTCTATCCTGCCACTCAATATCTTCTCGTAGATGCCAAAGGGATTGTCATCAAAAAATGGCGGAAAACCGGCCAACATTTCGTAGATCAAAACACCGAGCGCCCACCAGTCAACTGCCTTATTGTGTCCTTTGCTCTGAATTATTTCTGGCGCCAAATATTCTGGTGTGCCGCACAGAGTCCACGTTCTGCAATTCGTGATTTCCGATAATAATTATTCTCTGGTATATATATATATATATATATATATATACATTACGATTATCACGTTTAATTATCGATGAAATTTTTCATGTGATCGAGCAGTCACGTTGCTGATATCTCGATACAAAAAAAAAATAAATAAATAAATAAAAAAAAAATAAAAAAAAGTAAAAAAAAATGAAAAAGATATGATCGATCGACGTCAGAAATATAGATCGTAATTAATAATTCAAGTGAATTATTCAATTTATTTACTTGCATTTATCGAGCGTTACGACATAATCGAGTTTCAATCAAGTTCGATGAAAATACAGCTACATATTTATCTTTTACCATTATTGAACGTTCTAGAAGTAATATCGTTAAGAAGATTGCTTTAAGTATCCGTTTACCTGTCCGTCAGTTTCTTCGAAAATCCGAAATCGGTAATCTTCAGGTGTCCCTGGCTGTCCAACAAAAGATTCTCGGGCTTTAAATCCCTGTAAACTATGTGTTTGCTGTGCAGGTATTCCAACGCACAAACGATCTCGGCCGCGTAGAAGCAGCTGGTGGGCCCGGAAAATCGGCCAGCTGCCCTTAAATAGGAGAAAAGTTCTCCACCGGCAACGAATTCTAGCAGCATGTATACTCTTGCCTCGTCTCTTCCGCTCCAAAGCCTGAAACCAAACTGAGGCGTTAAAAATAATGGAGCAACGGTAAGAATTTTAGAATTTTAGAAACAGAAAATCTTAAATGAAAAAAAAAAAAAAATAAAATAAAATAAAAATGGTAGAAAATACATTTTATTTGCGATCTTTAATGGAACGAGAAGCATGTTTGAATGGTTGATGAGAGATCAGCAGGTATCACTTTCGCAGTTTTTTAGTTACGCTTTCTTTTTCAGAGATACGATTGACCGACAAACTCGCAACTTTCTTGATCATACCATACATAGTGTACTTCCTCGCCTTTGAACAGACAATTCCCTTCATCGATCGTTACAATGTTACAGCTTGGTCGAGTCGAAAGGAGAAAGGAGAAAGCAAATTTGACTTACATGTTCACGATAAAGGGATGATTGACCTCTTTTAGTACGGTGATCTCGTTCCGTACGTGTTCCACTTGTTTCAATCTGATCACGTCCACCATCGAGAGAATCTTCAAGGCTAGAGGAGTACCTTGATGCCTGCATAACACCACTCTTCCGAAAGTGCCTGTACCTGATTGTAAACAACATTAAG